TATGCATACAATGGACACCGGAATAGGTGCGTTTCTCTAAGTCTTCCTAACAATATGACCAAGTTGCGAAAAAAAGGTCAAAAATATTCTAAAATTGTCAAAGTTTATTCAAGCAATTCAGCTAGAATATCTCGCCGTTTCAGATCAGCCACTCTTCAATTTACTCGTTTATTAAAGGCTTATGCTCATCACTGCCAGGCAAATGAAACATTATATTTTCTATTAAACCTAGATCATCCATGTTTACCACCGCTTCACCATTATCCGTTTTCAAAATTATCAGATTATTTTGAGACAAATTATTTGGAAAGCTCTTAAAAGATAAGCTTTCATTGGCGTAACTGCCTGGCCAAAATGGGTAGCATTTTTAGCTCCACTATATTTTTTATCATTTCAGGTAATATATATGTTGAACTAGTAAGCTAATTACTAGATCAAAAGAATGGTTCACTGCAATTGGCTAGACAAAGCTCATTTATCTTCTTCAGAGAAGCTCCAAGCTATTCTCTAAATATATTTTAAACGTAAACATAGGCATCATCAATTCATATGTAATCACAATTACAAAAAATATATACACTTAACAAAGGTTAAATAAATATAAACGAGCAAAATCCTTCTATATCCCATTTTACTAACTTCCTTCTGCGTTGTACTTGTAAATCTATTTTATGCCATAATAATAAGCGCCTCTTATTATGGCAGATTTTGGCGCTGCTTGAAAGTTTCTTAACAATAAGCTCAGGAGCTGGAGGTATTTGACATAATACAGGCAAAGGTTTACCATTTTTCTTCAAAATTGAAAGAGGATATTGTACAGACTTTATCAACCTGAATTTCATAATAATATTTTATTCTCGTAAGTTTAATCTACTGACCACTTTTCACAGACTTACTCATGAAATGAAAATCTACTCATCGCCTACTAAGCAGCTCATCAAGACAAAGGATTAGTTTACGTTATCCCTCTCTGTGGATAAAATAAAAATTACGGGGAATACGGAGGTATTCATGGATAGAGTAAAAGTAAAGTGCTTGCCCTTATTAATAGAGTGATGCATTACTCGATATATGTATAACTATCCAAGCAAGAAGAGGTTACGGTTAGTAGATAAACACATTTCTGATGATCTATCCTAATTTTTCCTCTAAAACATTTTGCGTTTATTTTCCTTCCCTATTTGTCCGTGACTAATAGTGGCAAGCAGCTTCTTGTGAATTTATATAGTTTACTCAACGTTTTATTACCCTCGTACATGCAAAATTACGAATTCGTATCCAGCTTCCTTCCACTTCAAGGTCATACTTCATCTTTTTTATATAATTTTAGGCAGTTGATCTAATGTTCCCTTAGCAAAGGATACAAATGCCTATTGGTCTATTGACTTCAGACCCTCAAATGCCAAATCTGCCCTCTTGGATATATACCTTTTCGTTTTGAAATAAAATGCGAGCGATAATTTTCTAATGTATTCTGACGAACTAATATGAGCCTAATAGCATTAATGCCTAGTTATTTTGATTAAGTGAATGAAATGAACAAGAATAACTGAGGGCAATCATCTGACATTAATTCCCAAAAGGAAAGGTATTTAGAATCACAAATCCTTCTCTTGAATTTAACCTGTGAATTTCTTTATGCAATTAAAATCTACTCATTACCTAACTTATTAAGACACAGGATTAGTCTGAATTCCATCCTATTGTTGGTATAAGCTCAAGATCACTGAATACGATGGAATTCATGAATAGGTAAAGTTTGAAGTGGTTGCCTCTAGCGTGAACTTAGCTGAATGATGCGATCAGTTATCTACTTAAAAATTAGCTCATGTTTAAATACTGTGACTAACTATTTGTTATTTTAAATTCTCAACAGTTTTCTGGGGGAAAAATCATAAAAAAGACTGTCATAACGAAAAGATTTCATATGTCTCATTTCAGAGCTGCCTATATATCATAAAGTGGCCAGTACTACTCCGGCAAAACCTATTTCAAACTCGATTATTTAGTCGTATTTTCAGCATCTCTCTTGATTTATATGCACATACAAGCGACGATATAAGACAGACAAGTCGCACACTCTCACTATCGGGAACATTAGTTTGCGCCCTTACGGCTATGTTGCCAGACTTCCGACCATCCTTCTGCACTCCCTCACCAATGGCCTGCTCCAGACCCAGAGATACACTCATATTATGACTAAAGAGAGCCATAGGGAGATATATTGGGATACAGAGGAGTGAGAAGAAGTTAGAGAGAAACTTTAGTGACGCGCATGTGTTGTGGTCTCTCGCCTTAGATAAAGCAGCCGCCAACTCCCTCTCTTCCAGCGCTGCAATTCGAGCCATTAAGTTTCCTCTTATGATTCACATTCATGTATGGCTCTCTAGCTCATCTTCATTTTATCACTTCCACTCATCTTTGATCTCTTGTTCTGGCTTTTCCGCTATCCCCAACGCTAAAATGCCCATCCTCGGCGATTCTCGGACAGAATATTGGAAGCTTTTCTTACCCAGCTTGGTGACCGCTTCCAGTTTACAATTCCAAAGATGTGTTCATGCCTCACTGTCATCAAATGAATACAGTGGCTCAGGCCAGCTATTATGAATTCGTGTGTATTCATGTATGACGGCATTCATTTGTGCCACCTATACCGCCGGCAACCTGAGAGGGCAACCGAGCCTGTCGTAGTTGTCGTGCCTCCTCATTCTCCACAGTGTTGCCTGTGGCCTGGACTACGAGACGTTAGAGAGCTGGATTGCCTCTTTGTATAAGAACAGAACAGACGAAATTCTCACCTCAGCAGTGATCTCTATCTTGGTGCAACCACAAGGATTTATACCTGCGATACTTTCTACACTGTCATCTACGCAAAACATTACGTTCTCATCCGCCTTAGATTAATGTTAACAACCAGTGATGCAATTTAGAGGTAAGTTCGCATAGACTTGAGCAATGCTATTCTATTAACTAATAATCGCTAACCATTTACTTAGTAGATTCTGAAAATATCGCTACTTAAACTAGTTCTCTAAGAAGAATATATGCAATTAACTTTAGATCCCATCTGGTTCTGAACATTAACTGGATAAGGAATATTAATTAATTGTTAATTTTAAACTGCTGCGAAGGTAGATTAAGCCTAGACACAAAGTTCAAATATTTTTATTTAAAAAATATAAATGGACATATATCGAAGAAAAAAAGTTAGACAGAAGTGAAGTGAGTTCGTATTAGATAGGTCTACATTCTTCTTAGCTATATTTTTGATAGTAAGCTGATAATATTTAAGTGAATGCAACATACTAAAATAATACTTAACATGACTGAGTGGTATCATAAATGCCATATCTTTAATATGCATATACCCTATTTTGTTTAAGGTAATGAAGTTCCGATAGCTGAATATTCCCACAACACTTTCCTTGAATTAAATATAGTCTTGCTTACCAAAAGCTATTTTCATCTAGACTGGACTGCATTTTCGACCTCGCATAGGTCTCATCCGTACCCTAAGGAGGACTCGAACCTGGGTATTGTAGCTAATAATCTATAAACGTTACCATCTACGCCACCTGGTTATAGATGATGGTGTGAATTAAAAAGATAGATAGGCTCTTTATGCATTACTTTGTGTGACGGAGTTGTTGATAAAGTAAAGTTGCATTTGTTATAGCAATCGACTACACTATTTATTTTCGTTTATAAATAGCTTTTCTAGCTATGGAATAGATAATATATATGAAATCAACAATACACTCACATAAATAGATAAGGTAAAGGCCAGGGCTACCAAGAAATTCATTTCTATATTGTGACCTCAGGGCATACGTAGTAATGTGACATAGTGGATAAGGTGTAGAGACTATACGTCACACTACCTGGGTTCGAGCCCCCTAGGACTACTGA